GACCGCTACCCAGCAAGGTTTGTAACTCGGTGGAAGATCAAGGTTACTTCATGTTTTGATAGCGTTTACGTCAAAGCTCATCCGACCGCCAATAGATTGGGACTCTCAATTAATGATGTACCCGTGGAGGAAAGAAGGTCCAGTGATAACGACATCTGATAATGGTGGGTATGTGGTGCACGAATTAGCGTGCGTAGCCCAACTGGTAATCAACTAAATGTCTTCAATCCCATAATTTGATCGAATTTTTGATCGAAACTAGAAGAATTCCTCTCAATGAAAATTTTCAAAAGCATTCAGTCCAATTTTCAACAATAACCATCTGTATCTTCTTACTTGCGGGCAAGAACGTTTCCTAAGGCACAATTGGATTCATGCAGCCAAGATTTCAAAAAAAAGTCCATGACTCTAGTTCATTTTCTATATGCATTTATTTCATACTCGAAATCACCGAAATACAGAACAGTACACTAATTATATTCATTTGAATTCCTCATGCCTCAGCCCATTCCGTAATTTTCACAAAAAATATGTAGGCGAAGTGCGCTTTGTACTTCTTTTTCGATCGGGTCATCATATGTGGCGGACAGCTTTATATCAGCCGCACCCATTTACTATTTAAGCTCAGACGCTACCCTAAGGGGCACCAAGTAACGATTTCAGAAGAGCATTGAGCTTCAAGCGCTCGACGCTCTACTCTGGAAGCGAACTTCTCATAATGGAGACGACTGTGAGGTTATCGTCGAGATCACGGTTCCTAAAACTCCGACAGCCCCGCTTAAAAACTTGAAGGCATCCTTGATCTGGGTTAGACACTCAGAAAAGTAACGGGAAAGGGGAGACGGGGCTGGTGAGAAATGTGTATCAAAACGGGGAATAAATCCCTCATGTAACGTCAGCCTCATTCAGCTGGAACCATGAGTTCTCCCCAACCTGATATCTGCCATACTGTCGTTCCCGTGAGCTGATTTCGCTAATCTGGGAGATACGGTGCTTTATTTACCTACCTTTCAACGATGTAGTGGCTCATCTGCTTTCAAAGATCTCCTAGGGTAGGGGGACATTCAATCGGATAAGAAACAGATTGGTTTCCAACTTTTTTGGGCACTGAAGAAAGGTGACTGGTCAAAGGAAACATTTCCAACATCATGTGCTTTAAATCAAATAAATTCCTACTGTAACTATGCCGAGGTTTATTGAGAATCGAACATGACGTCTATATTTATTAAATTCGTCCATTGATGGCAGTCGATACTGAACGACCCGTCACCACACGGTTCAACCTTTTCAACAGAGTACTACTTTTTAGGGCATTGCATCGGGTGTGGTGCATTAGGAACGAAGTGGTCGCGTCGCGGTGAGAGGAGCATCGCGCGCGAAGGAATGTAGCAGGATGCAGCAGTAGGTAAGAAACACAAGAACAAAAGTACTAATAGTAGAATTATGCATAAAATAATGATCGCATATTGATTGAGCTGTATGAAGAACGCTAGAGCTGTAATAACGGCGCATGAGTGGTCCGCGACAGCCGCGTGCGGCGAATCGATTACCCAAAATCGTTCCTGACGCCCGTCTCCCCATTGCATCAAAAGGCTAACACCCTGAACTATGCTTCCTCATGAATCTATTTGTTTAAGGAGCATAGAAAGTACGTACTTCACCGGGTATAATGTTCGAGGCCATGGCTACTCGTAATGGGACTTGGAATTGTTGACTAGGGTATGTTACTGCACCAAGGTGCCCTTGCTAAGACCGCTTGTCCGGGGAAGTGGAAATGGGAAAGTGAGCTCGTCTGACGTTACGACAAACGGTTTAGCTGTAACTGGTGGTGGTCCACCGAGGAGGTTTTCGACCACTTGGGATATGGTCATCTCTTGGTCTGCATCGCCATATTTAGCAGAAGGCTTTTCAAACGCTTGACTGTCTTCCATGTCATCGCTGAACGGAAACAGCACACGAATTGCCCGCACGTCGTCATCTCCTGAAGGAATTAGTTTCGATGTTGTTTTGTCAAATGGATTCCCACACAGAGAGACTTTCAAGAGATGAACTTCTCGCCTGTCGCTGCGGTTAAAAAAAGAGTAAACGAGACTTACCCAGAGTGAAATCAGGATCATAGGGTCGTTTGGCAGAAAACATTACCGCACGAGGATCCACAGAATGTTCCAACCCCAACAAATGGCCAATTTCATGTACAGCCGTCTGAAAACTGAAGTTTGGGACAGCAGATTCCATTGACATGGAGATTGTGGATTCGTATAGGAACCCAACAACTAACAGTTCGTGTTGTAAGTACTGTGAGAAAACTTTGATCCAAAACAATTTATCCCTACCTGAAACAGGTTGACTCCTTGATCAGAGTTCAAAGTCCAGTCCTCATCGGCATCAAAGTGGAGTCGACCGTCTCGCGGATAGAAAGCGTGGGCAACAACTCCATCTGAAATTTGTCTTCCCAACAAAAATGCAACAAAATGGATTTCAAATCAGTGTGGAGTTGGTTTTTCTTCACCACTATTTTGTTCAATGTAGAGCCCATTTCAGTTTCCCGTTTGCACGATTACATAGACACAATAAGAAACCCAACTACCTCAAATTTCCTGTGTTTTACCTTGAAGGCACAGTTTATGATAGTTTTGGGGTATCTAGTTCGAGTGGGTCCGGGAACTTCTCCCCTAACACGGCGTCGCACACGCCGCACCCACCGCCTTTCGCAGGATTGCGATGGAAGATTGGAGCGCGCAATTTGTGAGGTAGGGAGTCCTTTAATTATTTGAATTGGCTGGCCGCTTTTTTCAATTCCATTGTGGTCTTGATCGTCGTTTATATAGGAGGAGTCATTTTAATTAATCAAGTCTAATAAACATGAAAACTAAAAAGAAACCGAAGAAAAAACGATCAAATCCAATGAAAAAGCAAGCCAATCAACGAAAAATATCGCGTCCTAT